AGAGATCAATCTATAGTTTTCTTTTTTAGTTGGGTCTTTCTCAAGTTTTGGTACTAGAGTAATATTTGCTTCCAGGAATGACTTATTCAATTTCATTGAATAATTTGAGGAGTGTCAGCATTAGGTCTTCTTTGTATTTCTTGTACAATTCTGCAGTGAATCCAACTGGGCCTGGGCTCTTGTTTGTAGGTAAGGACTTAATTACATTTTCAATTTCATTAACAGAGATGGGGTTATTCAACAGTTTTACATCCTCTTGATCTAGCTTTGGTACTTCATATGTTTCTAAGAATCTGTCTATTTCTTCTGTGTTATCAAACTTTTGAGAGTAGAGGTTTTCGAAATAGGTGTTGATGATCTTCTGTATTTCTATTGGGTCTGTAGTGATTTCACCTTTTTCATTTCTTATTGCATGAATTTGAGCTTTTTCTTCCCTTTTTTTAATAAGGTTGGCTAGGGGCTTATCAATTTTATTTATTCTTTCAAAGAACCAACTCTTTGATTTGTTGATTCTTTGGATTGTTTTCTTAGTCTCTATTGCATTGATTTCTGCTCTGATTTTTAGAATTTCCTCCCTTCGTTTGGCTTTGGGATTGACTTGCTCTTCTTTTTCTAGCTGTTTGAGGTGTAGCATCAAGTTATTTATTTGTATTTGTTTTGATTTCCTGATGTGGGAACTCAGTGCAATAAATTTTCCTCTGAGGACAGCTTTCATTGCATCCCACAAATTCCAGTAAGTTTTATCTGCATTTTCATTTCCTTTTAATTTCTTCTGTGACCCACTGATTACTCAAGAGTGTGTTATTCAGTTTCCATGTGTTTGTGGGATTTTTGCAGTATCTTTTATCATTAATTTCTAATTTCAGAGCGCTATGATCCGATAACATGCAAGGGATGATTTCAACTCTTTTGCATTTGCTTAAATATGTTCTGTGAGCTAATATATGGTCTATTTTAGAAAATGATCCATGTACTGCTGAGAGGAATGTGTATTCTGATGTTGTTGGGTGGAACATTCTGTATATGTCTATCAAATCCATTTGTTCACAGGTGTGATTCAGTTCTGTTATTTCTTTGCTCATTTTCTGTCTGGTTGATCTGTCCCTTGGTGTCAATGGTGTATTAAGGTCTCCTGTTACAATTGTGTTACTGATAATTTGAGTTTTCATTTCTGTTAATAGTTGTTTTATAGAACTTGGTGCTCTAGAGTTTGGTGCATATATATTTAAGATAGTTATCTCTTCCTCTTGGAGTTTTCCCCTTACGAGTATGTAGTGACCTTCTTTGTCCTTTATGGTCATTGTTGGTTTAAAGTTCATGTTGTCTGCAAACAGAATGGCTACTCCTGCCTTTTTTTTTTTTTTTTGGATTCCTACTGCATAAAGTATTGTTTTCCATCCTTTGACTTTCAGTCTGTGAGTATCCTTCTGGGTTAGATGGGTTTCCTGTAAACAGCATATGGTTAGATTTTGTTTTTTGATCCATTCTGCTAGTCTGTTTCTTTTGATTGGTGCATTGAGACCATTTACATTAATGGTTATTACTGTTAAATGTTGCTTTATTGTTGACATGTTATCTCTCTGCTGTTGCATCTTTATCTTTCTGTTCTGTTTAATTATCTGCTTTGCTTAGTGGTTTTTTCCTTTGTGTATCTAAACTGTCTTTCAATATTTTTTGCAGGGTTGATTTGGTGTTCATGAAGTTCTTCAGCTGTTCTTTGTCTTGGAAGTATCATATTTCACCATCAATTTTGAATGATAGTTTTCAGGATACATCAGTATAGGTTGGAAATCATTTTGCTTTAGGATCTGGAATACTTCACTCCATGCTCTTCTTGACTTTATTGTTTGTGCTGAGAAGTCTGCTGTGATTCTGATAGGCTTACCTTTATATGTGATCTGTCTTTTCTCTCTGACAGCTTTTAATAATCTATTCTTGTGTTGGATTTCTGGGATGGTGATTATTATATGTCTGGGTGTAGTTTTATTTTGCTTATGACTATTTGGAGTTCTATGTGCTTCACTGATCCTGATGTCAGTTTCTGATCTCATGCTTGGGAAATTTTCAGCTATTACTTATCTAAATATCCTCTTGACATCCTTTATGTTGTCTCCTTCTTTTTCATTAATCCCTATCATTCTTATGTTATTTTTCTTTGCATCGTCTTGCAGTTGTTGAATTGTTGTTTCCCGATTCCTTGTTAGTTTTAAAAGATATTTCCTTTCCTGCTCACTAGCTGCAATCCTGTCTTCAAGGTCTGAAATTCTATCTTCACTTTCATTAAGGCGGTTTTTACAACTTTCAGTGGAGTTTTTTATTTCCTGTATATCTCTGTGCATCTGCATTATGTATTCTGTTTGTTTCTTATATTGCTCATCTAGGGATTCTATCTTTTTGTTTAGTTCCTCCAATTTTTCATCTGTATTTTCTTTAGATATATTCAGAATCTCTTTCATTTCTTTTATCATTTCTCTTTTACCTGGGATATTATTTAGAGTTTGAATTTCTTTAAAGCTTCCTGGAGTTGCTTGTTAATTTCAGTAGGTATTGTGTCTGATATTTGAGGTGAATGGCTTATATTTTCTTCTATATACATTGCTTCTAGGGTTTCTTGAGAAGGGCTGGAGGTTTGAGGTTGTAATTTGGTCTTTCGTTTTGTCATTTTCCTATATTTCTGTGTTTTAAGTGTTATTTGAAAGCTTCCTCAGGATCTGTTGAAAATCCCCTTCTATGTTTGTAGCTACTGAGACTCTGGCACCTTGTTACCCCAAGCCACTGGGCCTGCACAACCAATGGCCCTCCTCTGCCTGTTTAGAACTCTGCAGTTCCAGATAAGCTGGGCCTCAGGGACACTGTGCGCCCACCTGCCCATTGGAAGCTCCACAGCTCTCCAATCGCAGCTGGGATGTGGAGGTGGATGTAGACGCCTCAAACGCACCTCTCCACTTCACTGCACCCGGAAGCCTGGAGGGACCCGAACAGTCTGGGCTTTGGGCAGAGTGTGCTGAGCACTCACCACAGGCTGCAGGGCCTCTGAAACCTGCAATGCTCCACTGCCCGCTGAGATATCCACAGTCCTCCAGACACTCGGGGAGGCTGATACAGGCACCCCAGATCCGCCCAGCCCCTCCTCTGCACACCGATGGCTAGGTGCGGGAGTCCCAAACAGGCTGGGCTCCAGGGATAGCGTGGGCCCATCCACCTGTTGGAAGCTCAGCAGTTCTCCAAGTGCAGCTGGATGGGGAGGCGGATGTAGAGGCCTCAAACCCACTTCTCCGCTTCACTGCACCCGGAAGCCTAGAGGGTCCCGAACAGTCTGGGATTTGGGCAGAGTGCGCTGAGCACTCTCCACAGGGGAAGTATCTTATTTTTCCATCCATTTTGAAATATAGTTTTTCAGGGTACATCAATATGTGTTGGAAGTTGTTTTCTTTCAGGGTTTGAAACACTTCACTCCAAACTCTTCTCTACTTGATGGTTTGTGTCAATAAGTCTGCCCTGATTCTGATTAGTTTTCCTTTATAGGTGATCTGTTTCTTTTCTCTAACAGCCTAACAGAATATTCTGTTCTTATGCTGAATTTCTGGGATCTTAATTATATATGTCTGGATGTAGATTTACTTTGGTTATGGCTAATTGGAGTCCTATATACCTTGCTTATCTGCATGCCAGATCCATTTCCCATGTTTGGGAAGTTTTCTGCTATTACTTTCTGTAATCAGCCTTTTAATCTCACTTGTGTTGACCTCTGCTTCTTCACTGATGCCTGTCATTTTTAAATTATGTTTCATTGTGTCATCTTGCAGCTGTTGAATTGTTATTTCCTGATCCATTGTTATTTTTAAGAGATCTTTCCTTTCATGATCACTAGCTACAATTCTATCTTCAAGGTTTGAAATTCTATCTTTAGTCTCTTTCAAGTGGCTTTACCAGCTTTCAACTGACTTTTTAATTTCCTGGTTTTCTCTTTGAATCTGTTTCATGCATTGTAATTTTTTTCTACTTCATTCATGGTTGCCATCACTTTACTATGCTCCTCTTTTTTATCTATGTCTTCTTTCAACATGCTAAGCAATTCTTTCAGTATGTTTCTGATTTCTTCTTTTATCTGAGACATTATTTCTAATTTGGTTGCTTTTACAACCTCATGAAGTTGTTTCTTTACTTCAGTTGCCATCCTCTCAGAGATTTCAGGTGTCTGTCTTCCATTTTATTTCATGACTATATCTCCCAGACTTGTTCTGTGTGGGCTGGAGGTCTGAGATTGCCTTTTGCTCCTTTGTCTTGACATTCTCCTGGGTTCCTCACAAAAAGCTTGTTGTGGGACCCCAGGTACCTCCCATGTTGGCTACTCCTCTGCAGTGTAGGAGAATGGGGCAAGCACCTGGGTTCCTCTGACCCCAGATTTACAGAGGTAGCAGAGTGTGGGGTGGGTTTCTCCAGACCTGTGCAGCTACACTGGGGCTTTCTCAATGGTCATGGGTGTGTGGAGGGGGGGCTACTTCTCTTGGCCTGTGTGTTTACTCCTGTAATGGTGGCAGGCACACAGGTGTGTGATTCTCCTGGTGGGTGATGACTGTCCAAAGGAACCAAGAGCCTCCAGTGGTGGCCTGTAGGTGCACAGGGCTTACTGGGCTGCATATACCTGTTCTTCTGGCTGCTCACAGGAACTGGCCTTCCAGTTGTAGTGCCCAGAAGGTGGAAGTGGATGTGTATGGCTCTCTTTGTCAGCACTGGAAGAGGCCTTCTGGTGGTGGCACCAGCTAGGCAGAGCTGCATCTGTCTGGTTTTCTCTGCTTGTGCTGACTGCCCCCTGGATGGGGCCTTCTTGTGGCAGGTAGAGGGGTATCTGTCTGGTTCTCTCTCTGAACATTTAATCATTTTTAGACCTGAGGATTATAAGGAATTTTTGTGGTAAGACAGAGGTGAAAAAAATGGGCTTTTGTATTTAGGTACTGTTGTAGTTAAGGGTTGCACAGAGAACAATTAGAATCAGGACATGGAGTTCATAATATTATTTTTATAATGATCACCAGAAGTCAACACAAGAAAATGCAGGAAATCTATTCACAACACCAAAGACATGGAATATTTAGTCAAGGACCTAAATCCCACAGCAATGTCTCACATGAGTCCAGATGAAAAACCAGAGCTCATGACAATGCCTCCCATGAATCCAACTGGAGGTCCAGAGCCCACAAGAAGGACTCATGCCAGTCTGTTTTATGGATCCGTGCTGGGAAGGCCCAAAGGTCAGCGGTGGAAGCCAGAAAGTCCATGCCAGTGGGGTGAAGAAGCTGTGCTGGTGAGATGAGTGTTCTATGCTGGAGCTGAGGAGTCACACTCACAACAAAGAGCAGGGCTGTCCTGAAAAGTACCACAGCCATCCTCAGCAACACAGAGGCCCCAAGCTCCTCCGATGACAAGCACAGTCAGGTACATGTCAGGAAGCCAGCGTGACGAGGTCATCCTAGAGACCAAGCAGCACACATCTTCCCCTCTGGAGCTAGGAAGCAAAGCTTGACGTGAGGACCAGAGCTTCTCCAGGAGAACCAACAACTCAAACAGCAACTCATAGGAGAACCCACAATGCCTCAATGCCTCAACACCTTAAAAACCTCCCCTTCTCCATCTATTTATGCTGGCAACTTTCCTCAAGTGGAGCATCTTCACTCAGTGCCATGCTGATTTAATCCAGCTGGCGTTAAGTTGACCCCCAGTTCTTAATTTATAACAGGCATTTTGGCCTCTCCTTTGTCATGTGTGGTTTCCACCTATCTCCCTGCCTAGAGGTGGTAGGGACTTGGCTGGCTAGCATGGGGGGATCCCTGGTTGCCATGGGTCACATGCACAGACACGGGCATGGCCATTGTCATATCCAGTTGACCCCAGGCACCAAGCCCTTGTGCTCCTGTTCTGACCCAGAGGCTCAGCTGTTACTGGGGTCTGAGTGCAGGCAGTGTTGATTTCTACTACGCTTCTGATACATAAAGCTCAGGTGCAGATATGGGGAAGACAGAGGTATCTGGGTGTGCCAGAGCCATGTCCTGCCTTTCTAAAGCCATGTCCCACATTCCTGGTCCCAGGGCTGAGTGCTGCAGAGGCATCACCCATGGGCAGGCCATTGAAAGTCTTATTTGACTCTGGTGGAGTTTGTCCTTCAGCATGTTGTGTGTCCCAAGCCAAGCCAAACCAAACTAACCTGAAAAGAAGACTCTTAGCACCCAGGATATAAGAGGGCAGCATCCAGTCTTTACATCAGTGGACTGTTGGATCTTCATGCCAGTAGACTGTTGCAGGGATAATTCCTCAAAAGCAAAAGCACTGAATTTAGGAACGGCTTAGTTCATATAGAATTGAGAATTGGAGAATACAAAGCAAGTGACAAAATGTTACATAATTGGTTGCATACATTGAGTCTATATTGACAGGCAGGCTGCTATTGAAACACTCTGGGAGCAAGAAGAGGAGCCCTTACAGAATGAGCATAGTTAAGGGCAATACCATAATATACATTATGGTACATAAGATACATAAGGTACATTCTGAGGAGGAGTCCTCGAGTTAGCCCAGGGTTCCTTAAGGTATCAGCAGTTACTCTGACTCAGTGCTCATCAGAGGTTTGCAGCTGGGCTGTAGACACTGTCACCATCAATTGAATTCAGCAGAAACAGCAGAACAGAAACTTGGTCAGAGACCTCTAATTGATCATTAAATATCTGTAAGTTTGCCATCTCACAAATGTGTTCCTACATTATAGTTTCTCTCAACAAGCACACAGGAGACAAACTCCAGCTCCATGGTGCAGGTCTGCCTCACCAACCAGGCCAAGCCAGGCCGCCACAGGGAAGTCCTCAGTACTTTGCACCATTTATTTGCATTTTTCAAGGTTAAAATCCTCAGATGATTTCTGCTGACTAGAAATCAAATCAGTGGAAGATTCATTTGGTGAAGGAAGTTCCCTCCATGCCCTTGTGGCTTCAATTCTAAATTGATCAAATATCCCATATCTAAAATAAATTGACTGCCTGTAGCATCCTGTCTGATTAACATCTTTTGCAGTGACATGGCACTACCAGAGGCCTGATCCATGCATAATTCAAAAAAAAAAAATCCCTTTCTACCAGCAAATAATTCAGGGACTTAATAATTCCCTGGACATAAACATCTTTTAGTTATTCCTTTCCAATCAAGTTTTATGAAATCCAGGGTAAGTATGGCTCGGGAGGAATTGAGGAAACAACCCCCAGTGTTTGGTGAGACTGAGGCAGACCCTGCTAGAGGTTTTTCTGGAATAGGTAGGTCTTCCATATCAGTTTTGAATTTACGTTGAGTGGCCCAACGATGCCATCTTCTTCACTTTGGACACATACCTGAAGGCACAGTTAGTGCTCTCACAGGTGCAGCAGCACAACTTTTGGCAAAATGCCTTCTCCCCTCCGCGCTCCACAACACAAACAAGTAGCTCTGTCTTTTTCTCTTTCCTTTAGGCTGTGAACTGATGGCCTGAGTGATTATAATTTGTCTTGGACTATTGGGGATTCAAAGTTCAGTAACAGAGTAGATATGCTGGAAACCCTCCATGTACTCCCCCATCTGCCTGGCTTGTTTTAGCACCAATTGCAAGGGAGGTAAAAAAAAAAATGGCTCTAATCCCTGAGAGCCCAAAGTTTTAACCTCTGGCACAGCAAAATTTCTCTGAGCTGAAAAGGTGGCGATAGCTTCTTGTGACTCAATTAAAAATAGCGGGTGTTGTAAAATAGAATTTGCAGTATAACAGAGTTAATCCCCCATCTCTCCTTCCTTATTAAACTTCATTGGAGTTTCTCTTACTCTACCACGTCTTCCCTGCTTGGGAGTTGATTTTAAAATACTGCTCTGAGCCAATTTCCTTGTGGCCATTTCAACAAGCCCACAATCATCAAGACATTTCCTAATAAAAATTCACAGAAGAAAAGTAAATATTGGAATCAAGCACACACAAAAAGTTCCACATACATTTCTGTTTCTTTAAAAGTTGTTTTTTCCATAATTATACCACTAATGAAATCAATACACCTTTTTTTTTCCTTTTTTCCTACTTCTCCCCCTGGGGAAGTGGTTTCTCACAGATTTGTTTATAACTGGCCATAGAAAATAAAGGATTGTTTCAGTGCCCTACACTTTACACCTGATGATACCAATATCAATACACTCCAGTGATGACTATTGACCCATACCAACGTTCTTCTCCCTCTAGCTGCATGCATGTGAGAAGTGTCCCCTCACACTCAATCTCTTACCCTATTCCTGTTTAGGAACCATATGCCACAATCCATGAGGCCCTTGAGGTTCTTGGGGTGAAGGACCATGAGAGGATGAGAAAATAAAGCAAAGACAAAGCTGGGGTCAGGTGGAGTCCTTATCTTCCTGATGGGAAGAAAGTAATTAACCCCTCACTGCAGGGGCATTCATTTATACCTTTTAGCAAATTAATGTCACATGGTACTCTGCTGTCCTAGCAACCTACTGTTCATATTGTCTTGGGGGTAGGTGGTCTCTGGGCTGAAGCAGCTTCTTCACATGGCTTACCCCAGGTGCTCTTTGTTCTTGGGATGGTCATGTTCCAGCTTTACATGTGTGGTTGATTTCCAGCTTCAATGTCTCCCAACAAGCATAGAGATAGAACAGACTGCAGCAAGCACAATTGTTTAATCAAGCCCAGTCCTGGAAAACCATTAAGGGAGCAATGCTACCTCAAGGTCACTCTCAACACTGATAATATTAATAACAACAACATCAACCCAGTGCTGAGTGTGTACCAGTCACTGTAAAGTGCCTTACAAGCATTAACTCATTTATCCTCCCACTAAGGGAGATTCACTTATTGGCCCTGTTTTTCAGAGGCCAACCTGAAAGTTAGAGAGGTTAAGCATTCACACAATGATAAAAGAAGTTGTCATGTTTTAAAAGAAAGAAATCTAAGCCCGTACCCTGCTTTTTGTCTGAATCGCTACCTGTGAGATGATACATTCTCATTCTCATAGGCCATAGCTGCAAAACACCTTCCCTTACCATGTGGATAATTTAAACTTAAGATCTCATACTTTTTCAAAATACAAGGAGAACCTCCAAATCATGGTATCTTACCAAATTTATCTTTCCAGGTCATTCAGTCAGAATCCCAGCAGAAAATGGATGCCTTATTCAAAAGAGAAAATGAAGAGAGCTTTACAGAAAGGTGAGATACAGATGAGGAAATCAGGGAAGAGATGGATATTAGCAGAACTTGGACAGAGGACAGCAAGCAGGAAGTACAATTTATGATACACAGAATGTTCTACAGATGGCCTCAAGAGTCTACCTCATAAACCCCACCGCCTTTGAGCGTGATGAGCTATCACTCCTGTGACTGCGCTGTCATATTACACAGTAACCTTTGAAAAGGGAGATTGCCCAGTGGGTTTATTCTAATCATTCAAGCATTTAACAGTAAAGAACTTTTTCCAACTGGAAAGAGCAAAAGAAGGTAGGGGAAGAAACCAGAAAGATTCGAATGGTGAAAAGGGTTTGCTGTGATACTGCCATCCTTTGGATGCAGCGGGAGTCATGTGAGAAGATATGCAGCTGCTTCCAGGAGCACTGAGCAACTCTCAGTTTACATTCAGCCAAAAACTGCGGATCTCAGTCCCCCAGCACAAGAACTGGAATTCTGCCAGCCTGGAAGTGGATGCACCCACCTCACCTGGAGTCTCCAAACAAGAATCCAGTTCTGCCCACACCTGGTTTTCAGGTTCCTGAGTAAATTAGCGTATTTACTAGCTGCTCTTGCTATGTTTTCTCCTGCATTTTGGGCTACATTGCCTCTAAATGACCCTTCATATGAAAATATTTTTGTAATATTATTTTCTATACAAAGAATAGAAAATTAATTCATTCTTTCCTATGGCAAAGGACATCAATTTCCCCCCCCCCAAAGATTTAAGAAAGTTTTTTTCACCTTCACAACTGATGATGGATCAGGCCATATAAATTTGAGAATTGTTACATCTGAGAAAATATGTATCAATTTTATTCTGTTTGAACTTAAGATTTCAGTGTATGTGAAGATTTCTTGTGCACTTGACAGCCTAAAACCATTCTTGAACCAATTATACCCATTAACCAGCTTGTTTCAGTGTTCTTCTCAGAGTGACATATTGTTTTATGTTACATTTTTGATATTCCAATGCTACGTGAAATCAGAAAGAAATTGCAGTCATTTCTGGTGTGTGTGTAAGGTTCACTCTTCTGCAGTAAGTTGATTAACAAATATTTCATGAGTCTGATTGCCTCTGTTTAAAATGTATCTCTTCCCGTTGTAAATTACTGGTGATGTGGAGACCCACGTTCCTTCCATCCTGTAGGTCCATCTTCAACACTTGAATTCCAAGAATAACATGTCCACCAGCAGTGAGTCACAACAGGAAGCAGAGATTAGACGATTACACGTGGAAACTTTCATGGGTCAGGCTGTAAGAAGAGAGCGTGGTTTCCACTTACGTTCCACTAATCAATTCAGTCATGAAACAATCTAGCGCAAGCTACAAGCTGAGGGTGTAAACCATGAAATTTTAGTCTCTCAGGTCTACAGAGCTCCCCAGTTTTTCTTTAATGTCACTCTTCAGTCCAAGGGTCCCGAGTAGAAAAGTTTGACTATTACGTCAATCCCTGTTTAGTGGCTGCTGGAAAGATACAAGTTTAGCAAAGTGGGGCGGGAGGATCCGTTCATTTTACCTCTGTGCCCTGAAAAAGTCATTATCATGTGCTACCACCAGATGGCACTCTAGAGCCTTGGAGTTCCCAAATTTTGATCCTGAGATGCTTTGCAGTGAAGCAGGATAAAAGGATTTTCCAGTCATCTGAGCAGAGATATAAACGGCTCTATTCTTCCTGGACTCGCCCAAAGAATGAATCTGGGCCTGCCTCCACCTCGGGAAGATTGGCAACTGAGAGAAAAGAGAAGTCAGCGCTGTTAAGCCGGGCACGGCCAGCCCACTGGAAGCAGAGACTCTGAGTGCAGAAAGCCTGGCCCACGTCCCAGTTCTGCCAGGAATGCTCAATGGGACATGACCTCGTACTACCTCGGTTTTATTGCCTGTAAACTGAATAATATAAAGATACATTAATACACATTTCCTGCGCCTCCAAATCTCCACACAAACCCACTACTTTGGTGCCCATGATAGCCAGTGACCTTGCCACTAGGCATTATGCATCTGACTTCACAGGTGAGGAACATCAACTTGCTGAGGTCTCAAGGCAAGTTACTGTTTTACATTGTTCTATGTTTTTGCATCTCACAAAACTGTTGCAGTACTTTGACTCCTTCTTCTTCACCATGGCATAAATAAGACAAATAATTTCATCACTCTATTCACCTTATAGAGGAGAAATTGTGAACACATACTAATAAAAATTTTAAAAGTTAAAAGAAAAATGAACAGAGAATCTAAGAGGAATCCATTCTGGCACCATTAAGGCCATGTGCACATTTCCTAATTTCCTCTAATATTAGATTTTTAATCTTAACATCAAGCACCTTCACTGCAGCAAAGGACTGATTTCTCGACTTGCTGACACACAGAGTATAAATATTTAAGTTCTTTTCAGGTTTTTAGGGAAACATCATTTTCTCAACTCTACATGTATGTGCCTTAATTGTGCATTTTGTCAACTATGTGAGTAAAGAAAAATAGAAACACAGGTGCCAACAGAGGGTGAGGAAAAAGAGAATTATGCAAGTCAATGTTTGGCACATGTACAAGAAACATCCAGAACAAAGCAACACTGCTCAGAATGCTGTGGTGGAGCTGGGCTGTTTGTCAAGGCCTCTTCCCCACATGCACACTCAGAGAACTTGGGTAAACAGTCAGAATAGAGGGCATCCTGCTGCCCAAGGTAAGATCCAGTTCTAAATATCCTTGATCTGTCCTGGGCTTTTAGCTTAGCCACAGGAAGATGAAAACACCACTCAAAAGAAATGTCAAAGAAACTTACAAGTCACTTTCAAGTATTAGCATCGAGTCAGGTACGGAATTAGACAACAGCACTTGGATCTTCCTCAGATGGCAGGTGAAAGAGAAATAAATTAATTGCTAACTGGGGTTTTATTCCCCAACTATGTGATTTTCATTTTTCAGTGATATTTACAAATGTGTTTTAATTGCAAACACTTATGTTGAAGGCTCTTTGTATCTCAGGGCATCCTCACAATCTTTTGGGGGTGCCACCCAGCCTCCTTATGCAGATGAGAACACTTGCTCATAATTGACAAATCACCGGCCTTCCCGGCTCCAGTGAGTAGAAAAGTACCTCCCCGCACCTGGGAGCCTGCTCTAGGCCTGGTCTTATGTGACTTCTAATCTCTAATCTTTACTCCAAATGTGAAAAGCAGAAATATTGTTATATCACTTCCAGGACAAAAAATTGCTTCCTAGATGGTTCAGAACTCTACCAAGAGGCATCAGTAGAAAAAGGCAAAAGCAGAATTCAAGCCAAGTGAATGTGGGTCTCTATCCGCGACAGCATGGACAGTGCAGGTCCAGGTTGCTGCTATTTCACCCTGAGCACCGCTGTTCAACTCCCTCTCAGCAGCTGGTGCGTGGTATCCTACAGGAGCAAGGCTGAATCATAGCCCTGCTCAGACTCAGGAGCATAACAAAGTCATGCTGCAGTGCTTCCTGTCTCCTCAGCCATTATGTGGACAAGAATGGCTTTTCCTACAATGTTCTGGGGCAACCCACGATCCAGGCCTGTGCCAATGTGATTCAGATTCTGCCCAAGTTCCAGGCTACTGTTCAAATGTATCCTGAGTTTCTCTGGGCCACTTTATTCCCCACCATGTATTAAAATCCTGTTGTTACGGTCAGTACTGATTAAGAGATGGGATTATGAGCAGCACTGAGCACCCAGGATTTAGGGATCCTGGAACTTGCTGTGCACAAAGCTGACCACCCACCAACAAGCCTCAGAGGGAAGCCTGCTCCTGTCCAGAAGGACCGGACACTCCGAGCATGCTGGGAAGATGCACTGTCCTGCCTGGTTGCTGCAACCCTTTGTGTGAGGTTTGTTTTGTCTTCTGGGGTAAAGGCTCACTCCACCATGATTCCTTTACGAACCAGCTCATCTAAAGGGGCCAGTTAGTCACGGATTCCAAGGCATTGTGGAGGAGTGGAGTGTTTTTCAGTGCCAGAGTTCCCAGCGACCCTTTCAATCCTCAGATGAAAATCCATGGCATCTAGAGCTCCTACTACACTCTAGATACAGATGGAAGGGCTGGGAGGTTCAAGGCTCTTTAACTCTTTGCTAAAAAGCCTTTTCAGGCACTAATGGTACCAATAATAGTTACAATTTAAAGAGAATCTTTATACAACTCTAGGAGATTTATCTATGCCGTGTATGCAGCCACAACCCTGTGTGACATCATCATACTTTTTGACAGAAAAAAATTGAAGCTATGGTTTAGTAACCTATCCAAGAACACACAGCTAAAAGAGAAAAGTAGGCACTGACATTCTACTCTGTTGGCTCCAGAGATTCTA